CTTAGGGTTACAGCTGGAATGAAGATCAAACCTAAAAAGATGCCTTTAGGAACTCCAGTCTAAAAAAACAAAACCCACTTCTAGCTACACATTTCTTGTCAGCACTAAAACTCCACCTAATACTGCAAAATGGAGCTTTGTTGTGAGTACGTTATGTGCCACACCAGAGTCTGGATGCCAAAGTTATGACCAAACTGGGAAAGAACAGGAGATGGCCACTAGATCGGAAGCTCAATCTTGTGCTTGGTAACGCGCAAATAACTAGGCCAGGGGTAGTCAACCTTGGCTCTTTTATGACTCGTGGACTTCAACTCCCAGAATTCCTGAGCCAGCTGTGCTGGCTCAGGAATTCTGGGAGTTGAAGTCCACGAGTCATAAAAGAGCCAAGGTTGACTACCCCTGAACTAGGCCCACAGTAGGTTTCGACGTGGCTTTCCTTTTCCTGAGATCGATGCTCTTTATCTTCCGAATTGTGTAGGAAGCAACCCCCGGCTGGGGAAGGAGAAAGAGAACTAAATCCTTTTTTTTTTTTAAGAGAGCGCTTTGAGGCCACCAAGTCACGAGAACCCCGACGCGTTTGAAAGCAGCAGCGTCTTCTTGTCTCTTCTTCCAGCCTCCACGTGACGGGGAGGGGCGGAGCCAGGAGAGCGAGCGAGCGAGAGCACACACGTGCGGGTTCGGGCCCCGAAGACTGCCGGCGGGGATCGGGGTTTGCTTAACGGAGAGGCGTTCAAAAAAGGCGACGGCAATCGGGGAGGGGGGAAAGAGCAGCCGGCGGATCCGTCCTCACGCGCTCCTCCGTCCTGAAGAAAAAGCAGGGCGCCGCGGAGGCCCCAATTGCACGTGGCTGCAACTGCACGCGAAGGGGGGGGGGAAGCCCGCACGGACGGCTGTGATTTTATCCCCATTAGAAGAGGCTTCGCTCCCCCCCCACGCACGCACACACGTTTTCTTCCCTCTGGCGCCCCCCCCTAGTGACAGGCCCCGCCTCGCTGCTGGGCATGGGCGCTTCCACATGGCCGGGCACGGAGGCCCAGGCCCCGTAAAAGGCAACCCAGAATGTCCGTTCTCGGCGGCGCTGCCGCCGGCCCGAGTCCGCCCTTTGAATACCTTGCTGGGAGGCGGCCGGCCTCCTCCGACGCCCGGCGGTGCCCAGGCCAGGCAGGTACAAGCGGCGCTGAGGTGGGCAGAGGGGACGTACTCGTGGTGGAGGCGGCTGCTGGCCGTCTCCCACACGCGAAGCCGCCCGTCTGGCCCGGAGAGGGCCAACAAGCGCCGCTCGTGGGGAGAAAAGGCACAAGGGCTTCCTGTCACGTAGATGGGGCTCTCGAAGGCCGCCGCCTGCTCCCGCTCGCCCGCCGAAGCGCCTTCTCCTCCTCCTCCTGCTGCCGCCGCCATGTCGCTCGCTGCAGGCCCGGCCCCTCTCTGCTCCCAGCAGGCAAGCGCACGGCCACGTGGTCCGCCCCTCGAGCATGCGCACTCGCCACCTCCGAAGCGCTGTACTCCGTCACCCTCACGCTTCAAGGCTGAGGGGTTGACGTCGGCGGGCTGTTTCTGTAGCCTTCGGCTGATGAAGCCGTGGGCTTTCCTCCAATCAGGGGTTCTCAACCTTGGCAACTTTAAGACTTGTGGACTTCAACTCCCAGAATTCCTCAGCCAGCTTTGCTGGCTGAGGAATTCTGGGAGTTGAAGTCCACAAGTCTTAAAAGTTGCCAAGGTTGAGAACCCCTGCTCCAAATGAACTTGCCCAGGAATGGAGCAGCACAGCTGAGAACCGACTTAAAGATCAGGGGCCCAAGCCTCATCTTTGAATTGGCCTGCTGGAATCCGATTGTAATTGTTCACAGCGTTTCGTCGTAATAAGAGATTACAATCGGCCTAAACCAGCCGGTTGCGGAATTCTGGGAGTTGAAGTCCACAGATCTTAAAGTTGCCTCGGTTGAAAAGCACTGGTCTAATAGAAAAGAATTATTTGTAGCTTAAGCTGGAACTGTTTAGTCTTTGGTGCTCTCCGAGTTTGGTTGTTTTCTTGCAGATAATGTATTATCCAACTAGGTGTTACCTAGTAGGGTGAAACGTCTGCAAGAATAGAATAAAGCTCAGAGAGCATGAAGGACTTGAAAGCACTTTTCCAAAAAGCACCAGCAATATGGAGAAATAAAGATGTAGGGGAAGATGATGCAAACATTTTGGTTCCACAAACCTGCCACATTTCTCCATGCTGCCTGTTTTTTTGTTCCAGTCCTAAATTCATTTATTCAGAATACCAGTAAATTCCAATCAGTCTACTCGTGCATATGAGTACTTGCTGATAGGAATGTGCTTTTAATTTAATGTTCTGTCCACTGTAGATCCAACCATAGAACACGAACACGGTGTCAAACTCAGTCACGTCACATGATGTATTGTGACATATCGTGACACTTTTTGCCTCTGTAGAGCCAGGGTGGGCATGGCCTACACGTGACGGGCCACCAGTTTGACTTCCCTGTTCTAGAAAAAATCATTCCACATATTTAAAATGTGCTATATGTATTATTTCTTTATCCTTAAAGTAGCACACTTTAAATTCCTTACAGCTCATTTACTCTTTATGCATTAAATATATATGTTTTAAAGAACCTAAACAAGAGTTAAAGCTGAAAAAAGAATGAAGAAAAGTGCATTAAGATTTACAAAATATAAAATTACATAAAGAATTCTAGTCCTTTAAAAAGACTGCAAGCAGGAGCCTGCCAAATACTATCCAATTAGCTTTAATTACATGATTGGGAGGGGGGGAATTCCACCCAGAACAGGCGAGATTCATAAAGCACAGTGTGCCACTTCATTCCTTTTATCCAGAAATATACCAACAGACATACAAAGCAACTGTGTCAAATTCATCAATTTTATTTCTGCCTTTGACTCAATTGACAGGTCCCATTTATGGAAAAAAATTGCAAAGACAGACATCAATAGGATTTTTTTAACCTTTTCAAACTAACAGTTGAATTACATACTGATACTGTGGCCAGAGTAAGAATAAGAGTAAGAGCTGCAAGGCTCTTTGTCACATCCCATTTCAATGGTGTGAGGAGTCAGTCAGGTCTGTTTAGTTCTTCCTTTTTTATTTACATCAATTTAGTGGCCACAAAGTCAGAAAATTTCTTCTCTCCTCACTTAGTGAATGTAAAGTTTCAACTTTAATATATGCCAACCACATAGCTTTCATTTCTAGCACCAAAACTGGCCTTAGAAGATTGTTGCTAGCTTAGATGATTATTGTGAAAGGAAAAAAATGATAAAAACAAAGATAGTTTCAGTAAAAGCATAATCAAACACAAATGGACAATGCCCAACAATAGAACAATGCACCTCTTTTAAATACTACTTTTGAGAAATCCTTTATATGGAAGACATACTTTACCACCAACACTGAGAGGCCAAGCCATGAGAATATAAACTGAGAGCAAACTCGACTCCTTACTAGAACTGATTATGTTACTAAGTTTGGGTAATGAAACATTTGCAAGAAAACAAACAAGCTCAGAGAACCCCAAGGGCCCCTCATTTCAACCTGAGCTAGAAATATTCTCCTTTATTGGCAATATGATTGCTACCAGGTATTTATGTATGTATGTATGTATGTATGTATGTATGTATGTATGTATGTATGTACGTACGTGTGTGTGTGTGTGTGTATCTGGGGCAAAAAGATCAAAAGGAAATGGGACGAGAAGCAATCACAAAGATAATTTACAGTAGAAGAATCAAGACACACTCCAACACGACTTCTATAGAGAAACTAAGCCGGCGCAGGGTATATGCATCATCCCTTGTGCTTTTTCTCTCCACAAGGCTAAGATCCAATGGTTTTATACCTCAACATCCGGTTCTCAGTTGCAGTTAATAGGCCTCCATGTGCGGGCAGGACCACTATAAATGCGTAGAACTTAAGGTTAAAAAAATACTTAAATTTTAGTTATTGGTAAAGCCTAAAAACAGAAGCCAGACACCAGCCTCCGGCAGGATATGCATAGGTTAAGTTCAATGAAAGAAAACGTTGAGTTTGTTGTGTTTCCTCCATTCTGAGGACCCGCGTAATATAATTTAGATTCGCTCTTCGGAAACACTGGCACCTCTGAACACGGTTCTTAGATTATTATTTTGTAAAATTCAGCAGACAGATTTTCCCGTCACGAAGTTGCAGACAGCAGTGAAGACACCGAAGCCTGTTAAACCGCTACTTCTCTTGGAAAAGGATAGAGAGGCAGAATTCAAGGAGTACTGAAAGAATCTATATCTTAAGAGAAGAGTCCCATTTGTTCCAAACCTCGTAGCGAACGACAACATCCTTTCACCCTCCTTCTTTCGCTTAGTATTTCGATTCATATGTACCCTCGCTGTCTTTAGCCCCCCCCCCCCATTGAGGATTCCATTCATAACCGGAAGCTGAACCTAGTTCTTCGGAAAGGCCCCTTTGATTGGATTGCGATTGGCTCTGCAGCTCGCCCGGGAAGAAAAAGTTCCGTCTGCATCCTGGGCGCCTTGCAACCTGCATGGTGGCTTTGGCGGAGTGGCAGAACGGGGGATTCCATGATTAAGCCAAGCATAAAATAAAAGAAAGCGATTGGTGAATTGGCGGCATCTGCTCTCCCCAAAGGACCGGAGCCCCGGAGCCATGATGGCCTGCTGCTGGCAAAGGCTGGGTCTGGGGGCATCGCAAGGGGGGACTTGGGCATCGCTCCGGACCAAGATGAGAGAGGGTCGATACTTACGCGACGCTGGGAGAAAAGGACTTAACCTCCGGGCTGGAGCGCCAGGGATGGTCACCGGTCATTCCAAAGCGCCCCGGCACCAGCTGCAAGGAACGCCCACAGTCGATTCCCAGGGCGTTAGTCGCCGGGTATCTTCTAGCTCGACGAGGGACGGAGACGGAGGGGATGAGCTTCCAGAACAGGTTAGCCCTAAATCTCAGCAGGACTCCTTTAGGTGGAGGGAGACCAGCAGGGCTTGGAGAGGGTCGCTATCGCCTTTGGAAAGGCTGAGCCGGATGATTCCCCCCGAGCTCCACTCTGCGGAGATCAGGGCTCTGAGAAGCGCGGAGGTGAAGGAATCCGAGTTTCAGGAACGCGAAACAGACGTCGCAGAGGTGGGAGTCTTCCCTGGAGCAGATTCCCAGCTGGATCGAGGCTCGTTCTCCGAGAAAATAAAAAATGCGCCTTCCAGGAACTGCCCCTTCCGAGTTGGGGAGCTGATTCTAATAGAGGGTCATCGAAAACACGGCTCGAAATGGAAGATTCAATGCCTGCTCACTGATACCGGAACGTGTAATACTAATTTGGGTTTCATTAGATTCTCTGAGATCATAGGCAGACTCCCCGGGCAGCTGTTCCGAACGTCCCAGGATAAAATCTTGATGATTCGGAGGCCATCCTTACAAGAATATGTGCTGCTAATGGATCGAAAACCTTCCATCATCTCTCCGAAGGTATATATTTAATTGTTCAGCACTCCCCAATTCCCATTCTGGGGACTGATAAGTATGCTACTGTTATTTCAATGGGCTCCACTGAGATCTTGTGGGCTCATTTTGAAAACAGAATTGGTAAAGGAGGCGTTTGGCTTTTTAGGACCCAACAAAACTCCCCACCTAATCTTTTATGCCTCATGTATATATTTCCTATTTCTTTCCTTGGCTACAACATCAGACTTTCCCCACTTCCCCATATTTTTAGCCCACCTCTTGTATGATTCCCTTTGTAGCCCAATGATCCTCTCTGGGCTGGAGAATTCTGGGAGTTGAAGTCCAGACACGTTAAGGTTGCTGAGGTTGAGAAACGCTGCAATAGTGGGTCCAAAATGGGGAGAAAATGATAGAGGCATGGCACCTTTACTGCTTCATCTTATCATTGAGGCATCCTTCCCCAGCTTGGACATTCTTTATACATATGGACTTTTCTTCTTCCCAGAATTGTCCTGCCAGCATATCAATTGCTGAGATTTTGCAGAATTGTTCTATTTCTTTGAAAAGTATCTGGGCTAAATTTAGACTATAAACAGAACTTGCAGTGGGACCTCCAAATTCTAGTTGGAATTACTTCTGTTGTTATAAATATAAGATTACAGGCAGTCCTCAACTTATAACAGTTCACTTAGTGACTATTCAAAGTTACAACAGTACTAAAAGAAGTGACTTATGACCATTTTTCAGACTTATGACTATTGCAGCATCCCCATGATCACATGATTTACATTCGGATGCTTGACAACTGACTTATATTTATGACCGTTGCAGTGTCTTTGGGTCATGTGATCACCTTTTGCGACCTGACAAGCAAAGTCAATGGAGAAACCAGATTCATTTAACAACCGGATACTAATTTAACAACTGCAGGGATTCGCCTAACAAATGTGGCAAGAAAAGTTATAAAATGGGGCAAACTTCACTTAACAAGTTTCTCACTTAGCAACATAAATTTTGGGCTCAATTGTGGTCATAAGTTGAAGACTATCTGTATACCCACTTCTGTTCTCTGCAGGACTTGCGTGCATACATCTGTCCCAGCTGCTGTTCGGTTATACTGAATATTAATTTTTCTGCATTGAAACTGGACAGACTAAAGAAACATCCCCTCTCAGTACTATTTGAATAGTAGCTTTGAAACTCCTGTCATCTTTGTTCTTTTAACCTATAGGATGCCAATACAATGTTGCTGCTAATGGATATCACTCAAGGGGACATAGTATTGGAAGCTGGTTCTGGTTCTGGCAGTATGAGCTTATTTCTGTCAAAAGCAGGTAAAACGACAGTTTTTGAACAGGATTTTCATTATTGGTGTCAGTTGACAGAGTTTCCATCTTTCACTGTTTCTTTATACTAGATTAGACTTTTTGTCATCTTAATCAATATGGTTGCTCAGCTTATACTAGGTTTCAGGCCGAAAAATTATATTTCATTCCTGCTACCTTATTTTAATAGGAGGAAGTGGGGGTTAAGACTGGGATTTTCCAGCACAGATTCCATTCTTTGTGGCTATCAAATAATTCTTAAATGCAATATGAGTTTTTGGGTTATGCCTTAGCTATTTTGATATTTAATCCATCATTTTTATTTTAGTATGTTGTCTGAACATGCCACTATAGTGCTGCCTGAAATGAACAGAAAATTATGCATCTTTTGATAGTAAAGCCACATTCGAGGTAAAATATGAGAAGATGCTTTTCAGATATATTGTCATACAACTATTGTGTTCTATTCATCAGATTTTTCTAAGGTGTTTCTGTAACTTCCCCACATTTTCCTATTGTTTATTTGTCTTTTTTTTCTTACTATTGCTACAGTTGGGTAAAATAAAACAGCTCCTTAAGGGCTGAAGTACAGTGAATGACAATTCAAGGATAGTCTCCTATTGCCAACATCCCTGGAAAAACTTGCCACCCTACAGATATTATGCTGATGGGTTATTTTACTATACATCACCATGAGAACCCCTTAAATCAGGGCTTTTCAACCGGTGATACTTTGGCACCTGGCAGGTGGTATGCGACTGTCCTAGAGAAGTGATAGCGGGTGGGGGGAGGAATGAGCTGAAGCTGCGGCAGCACCGCACAAGCCTGAGGGAGAGACAGCTGGAGCTGCAGGGCTGTCGGGGGGCGGGGCTCGGCAGAAGAGAGAGGAGAGGATATAAAAGGAGGTTTTGGCAGGAAAGGGCCAGTGAGGAGCTGCCCCTGCACCATCCCCTGGGCACGCGAAGAGGAGGAGGCAAGTGCCCAGCATCCCTGCTGACCGTCCCTGCTGACCACTGAGAAAGAAAAAAAGCAAGAGAAGTGCTTCCCTTTCCCCCAGGATGCCAGCGCTCACGCACTCGCCGCCTTCTCTGTGCACCCCCAGGGGGCAGGCCACAGACGGGGGGGGGTCTTGCTGGCTCCGGGGCTGCCCTATGGATCTAAGGCTGAGTGTGTTCCAGCTTTGATGGCCCCCACCAGTAGATCAATGCCACACCCACTCGCTGACTTAGCCTCGCAGCCACCAGGCTTCCCTTTCACTGGGACCGCCCCTGCCTGCGTGGGATAGCTACGGCTGGCGGCAGCATGGCCACCGGCAGCGCTGGCAATCTTTTCCCCCCCCATCATCCCTTGGGAGGGAGGAAAGAAGAAAGGGAGGGAGGAAGGAAGGAGCTAGGAAAGGGACTGCGTTCTGAGCGCTTCACAGGTTCATTTTTTTTAAGCTGCCCAAGGCCCTGGGCAGAGGTTTTCCATTTTGAGCCCTCCGTCATTGTCTCTGTGCCTGAAGGGCCTCTGCATGGCTCTCAGCTCGCCTCTCCCAGACCCGCACATGTGTGTGTGTGTGCTTGTGCGTGCATGGGGGCGTCTCACTTCTTGCAGACCCACGTTGTGACATTGGGGAGGAAAAGAACGGGAGAGTTAATAGAAGCTGCCCTGTTCCACAGGGCTGGGGGCGGGAGCTGAGGGGGCCAGGGCATGATGCGATCAATCGGCGACAGTTGAGAAAAAGAAACAAGTACTCCCCAAAAGTAGCTTTCATTAGTTTGCAGCCTGCCATCGCAGAAGGTCTCTGTTGAGGGGCGGGCCTGCTAGGGGTGAGACACACACACACACATACACACACGTGTGCAGGTCTGGGAGAGGTGAGTTGAGAGCCACGCAGAGGCAACAATGGGGGAGGGGTCAAAATGTGAACCCTCTGCCCACCACTGCTTGCCTGTTGCCACCTCTGCCCGGAGCCTCTGGCAATTTAAAAAAAAAAACAGGAAGGAAGGAAGGAAGGAAGGAGAGGCAATTTGGTTGGAAATGCCTCAGTTCAAAGGATAAACCAATTTTGTGTTCTGTTTTGTCACAGACAGAACTTTGTTCTCAATCCAAGTTAGCATTGGTATTCTTGAATTGTGAGCTCTTAGGAATGTGTCCCCTCCTTGTGTGTTGCTAACAGCCATTTCCAGTGGGGAAAACAGGACAAAGCAGAGTGGTGAAAATATTTTCCTTTGCTATATTTCCAGTCTGAATTAGACCAAGGCAGGGTTCCTACAAGAGAGCCCTTTTAAGGATTATGTATTAATAGAAAAGCAACTAAGCTACCTCTGTTCCTAAATGCTAAAGCTGTTGCACATAAAAAACGGAGGAGCTCTGATCAACTGTTGCAGCCACCATTTTGACAGTTTTGCAGTACTGTTGTCTGTGGACGACCCCACTAAAGACAAGCACGGGATAAACTGAGCCTGGTTTGTTCTCAATCTTTTAAATGGCCGCAAACTACTAGCAAAAGTGGCATTTGATCACAAGGCAAGGAGGCATCGAGAACTGTTTCCCTTTTTGCATTTGAGCATCCAAGAAGGGACAGGAGAGGAGAAAAGGAAAGAGGAAAGACAAAGAAAAAGAAGGAAAGAGGGGAAGGAAGAAAAAGGAAAGGAGAATGAAGAGGGAAGGAAAAAGAAGAGAAGGAAGGAAAGTTATAATGAGAGGGAGGGAGGTTCTGAAGGAAGTCCTGCCTTAGCACTTGGCCACGACCAGCCCTGCTGCCCTTTTGCCATCCCCTTGTCCCCCCCACCTCCTGACTTTCCTGGTGGTCTCCCATCCTATTGCTGAGGATGCTTTGGTTACAAAACCAGGTCTCCTCATATGGACAGGGAGTGGGCCTCCCTCTGACCCACACATTTTGTCCTCCCACACACACCATGAGCTCCATGTGGCCTGAGAGCAAAGGAACCACCACTAAAGAAATTAAAACTGGTACTTTTTTCTTTTCTTTTCTTTTTTACGGTTTGTAACATTGTATTAGATTATGGAATAAAATACAAAAATACAAAAGCAAATAGGACACAGTGGGGAGGAAGAAGGGGAAAAAAGTGAGAGGGAGAAGGGGAAAAGGCATTGATTTCCGACTTCCTCTGTTGCAGTAGCATGAAGCGTTAACATCGAACCTCAACTTTTTACTTTTCCATAATAGTATAAACTAGCCATTTCTATAACAACAAATGAATCTAATCAGTAAAACCCAAAATCCCACCCCCTTTTTTTTTTCAGTCATCAAGTTTTTGACACCTTGCTAAGCACTGGTGGTACTCAAATATTGTCATGTCCTAAAAGTGGTACAACCTATGAAAAGGTTGAAAATCCCTGCCTTAAATCAATAATTAAGAGTCACCTGACTAGTAGTTAGCCACAGTTGAATGGTAGGACAGCTAAAATTAGGAAAGGCGGGTATGGGAGGGAATATAATTCAAACAGGAAGAAGAGTGGTGGTAGATTTTGGACTTTCCTTGCAGGAGGCTATTTGAGTATTTTCTATATCATTTATAAAATAGTTTGTATAAATATAACTCAACTTGATTACATTCTGTTTTTAGTGGGGTCACAAGGACTTGTTATAAGTTATGAAATCATGAAACAACATCACAAATTGGCAAAGAAGAATTTTTGGCAGTGGTGTAATGCATGGAAACTAGGACGTGGTAAAGAGTGGCCAAATAATGTAGATTTCATTAATCAAGATATTTTGACTGCAGCTGAGGATTTGAAATCTATAACACTTGATGCGGTAAGTACTGTATTTGTTTTCTTAAAGTCAGAATTTCCTGTTCTAAGTTCAAAGTGGCTTGGAGGCCTAAAGCATATAATACCATTAGTACTATAAGCAAACACCTTTAGTTTTATCATCTCTAAGCCATAATCCAGCCATAATCCTGACATTATGGTTTGTGAGTGTGTGCTTATAAAAACATTGACATGTGTTATGCTAAAAACAGATACACTGTCACAAGTCAACAGTACAATAAGTAAGTCTAATACAAGTACTCGTTAAAATCAATCTCTTGTGTTTTACTTTAATATTAATGTTTTCCTTTCCCTTTTGGTAGGTAGCTCTGGACATGCTTTGCCCACAGAATGCCTTGCCTGTAATTTTCCCAAGTCTTAAACAAGGGGGGGTATGCGTTGTATACTTGGCAAAGTAAGTATTCATTCCTTAAATGTCCGGGTTTTGCTTTCAATGCTTAGAGAGTACAGTTGTGCAAAGTATTTGAAACTTTATTTCATGCATGAATGAAACACCCCTCTTCAAACTTGTAAAGCAGACAAATATTTTGCCAGACTAATACCACTGCCTTAAAGCTACGCCTGGTTGCTTCATGTAAGTGTAGATGCAGGGCCATTTCAACTTTTCAGGAAAGAATGCAGTGAGGTGGCTGTGATGCACGTGTATATGAAATCAAATAGGAACAGGAATTGCATGAATCTTTTTCTTCTTTAGGCTAATTATACCCAGGTTTTTTTTTAACAAATCTTCATAGGATTTAACCTCCAACCCCCTTGCCATCTTGGTTGATCTTTTTTCACTCTTTTAAGACTTCTTTTTAATCCTACTCTTTTTTCAGTCTGTATATTAACTCAATATTCAGGCTGTCATGTCTCACGTTATTAACCTCCAATATTAGCAGATTGTGCAATTCCAGCTTTGTGAAATACAGACAACATGTGCTTTTATCTGTTTCCCAGTTGAAAATGAAAGGGGTGGTTTTTTTAGCTTTGGCTTCCTTTTACGTAAAGGAACAGTTTGTAATTAAAATTTTAAAAATTCTTTCAACAATACTATAGGACGTATGTATGATAATTAATGAGATTCCAATAGAGCAGACATGTACTACAAATATCTTGGAGTAAAATAGCAGGCCTCTTTACTATACACAAGAGAAGGCTAGTATTGTTCAACATTGCCCCTTAACTATCTTAAGTTTGTTTTCTGTTCAAAGGAAACACAATTTATTCCTGCAAGGTTATCTTCCTAAAGTTATTTCTTAGCTTCTTTATGGTGTTCAGATTTGTTCTTTTTCAGAATTTAATATCCTGGGAACTGTTCAGTCCAAGTTTATGGACTCATCTTTACAGTTCCAAGATGCAATAAGAATGCTGGTTTAGAAAGAGATTTGGTTTCTAAGGGTGCCACAGCTTGGCACTATCAAATTAATTTGTAATTAATTTCTTCACTGTAGGTATGGCCCGATTGGTTCTCAGACATTATTTCAAATCAATTTGGCTGAAAAGCGCTAATAGCAAACCCCTCCTTAGGTCTTTTTTGAGAGCTCTGCCTATTCGTTCTCATGCTATTTGGAGAATGGCAAATGCAGCCTCAGGAAGAAGGCCTGACATGGCCATCAGCTGCCTCGCATAGAGCAGACTCAGCAGGTCAAGCTGTGGAAAATAAAATAAAGGTGGAGCATAGGGCCTAGGGCAGTGGTTCTCAACCTTTTTAATGCCGCGACCCCAACTGGTCGTAAGTCGAGGACTAAACCGGTCGTAAGTCGAGGACTAAACCGGTCGTAAGTCGAGGACTACCTAACCGGTCGTAAGTCGAGGACTTTCCCTGCCCGGGAGCTCCACGCATGCGTGGTTCCGCCCCCTGCACCGGCCGAGGCGTAGCTGGCAAGCGGCAGAGACGGAGCAGGCCGACCACCAGCTGGCCCAGCCCAAGGGAGGTAAGGCACCTGCTGGAAAAGGGGAAAAAATGCCGGACAAAAAAAATGGCGGAGAAAAAAAATGGCGGACAGCCTTGCTTGGCGACCCCCGTGAAATGGTTGATCGACCCCAAATGGGGTCCAGACCCACAGGTTGAGAACCAGTGGCCTAGGGGCAGCTGGGGCTTTGCATTGTGGCACTAGGGTGGCTAGCTATGACATGGAGCTGAGGCAACGCTCCTTGGTAGCATTGGGAGTGAAAGAGAGGAGCAGGGGTGGTGGCAGCCAGCTGAGTCTGCTGAAGCCCCAGTACCACCGCCTCTCCACTGTGCAGGGCAGCCAAAAGGGCAGAGATGGAGGGAGAGATAGACAAATGAGAGGACTTGGAAAGGAGACAGAGAAGGCAGACTCTTACCTCACCAAAGATTAGGGCTGGGAAGACCAAACTGAGAGTTGCTTGACTCAGGGTTGGTCTTCACCTAATGACCAATGGGTTTGGTTAACAGCTGCAGTGGGGACTGCTGGGATTATTTATGGCCATATCACTTAGTAACAGAAATTCCAGTTCCAATGACTATCCTAACTCAAGGACTACCTGTACTTAGATTTCAAATATAAGGGAAAAAACATCAGCATGATAAGATATAATAGTGGAACAGTGTACTGATAGAAGTTGTGGATTCTCCATCTGGTTAGACACCTTTCAAGACTGNGGCGGCGGGGGTGGGGCGGCGGGGGTGGGGCGGCGGCCAGGGAGGAACAGCCAAAATGCCCCCTCGGCTTATGCGCGGGTCACCAATTTTTCCCAGTTCTCTGTGGGAAAATCGGTCCCTCGGCTTATACTCGGGTCGACTTATACTCGAGTATATACGGTAATACCATTAGTACTATAAGCAAACACCTTTAGTTTTATCATCTCTAAGCCATAATCCAGCCATAATCCTGACATTATGGTTTGTGAGTGTGTGCTTATAAAAACATTGACATGTGTTATGCTAAAAACAGATACACTGTCACAAGTCAACAGTACAATAAGTACGTCTAATACAAGTACTCGTTAAAATCAATCTCTTGTGTTTTACTTTAATATTAATGTTTTCCTTTCCCTTTTGGTAGGTAGCTCTGGACATGCTTTCCCCACAGAATGCCTTGCCTGTAATTTTCCCAAGTCTTAAACAAGGGGGGGTATGCGTTGTATACTTGGCAAAGTAAGTATTCATTCCTTAAATGTCCGGGATTTGCTTTCAATGCTTAGAGAGTACAGTTGTGCAAAGTATTTGAAACTTTATTTCATGCATGAATGAAACACCCCTCTTCAAACTTGTAAAGCAGACAAATATTTTGCCAGACTAATAACACTGCCTTAAAGCTACGCCTGGTTGCTTCATGTAAGTGTAGATGCAGGGCCATTTCAACTTTTCAGGAAAGAATGCAGTAAGGTGGCTGTGATGCACGTGTATATGAAATCAAATAGGAATAGGAATTGCATGAATCTTTTTCTTCTTTAGGCTAATTATATCCAGGTGTTTTTTTTAACAAATCTTTATAGGATTTAACCTCCAACTCCCTTGCCATCTTGGTTGATCTTTTTTCACTCTTTTAAGACTTCTTTTTAATCCTACTCTTTTTTCAGTCTGTATATTAACTCAATATTCAGGCTGTCATGTCTCACGTTATTAACCTCCAATATTAGCAGATTGTGCAATTCCAGCTTTGTGAAATACAGACAACATGTGCTTTTATCTGTTTCCCAGTTGAAAATGAAAGGGTTGGTTTTTTTAGCTTTGGCTTCCTTTTACGTAAAGGAACAGTTTGTAATTAAAATTTTAAAAATTCTTTCAACAATACTATAGGACGTATGTATGATAATTAATGAGATTCCAATAGAGCAGACATGTACTACAAATATCTTGGAGTAAAATAGCAGGCCTCTTTACTATACACAAGAGAAGGCTAGTATTGTTCAACATTGCCCCTTAACTATCTTAAGTTTGTTTTCTGTTCAAAGGAAACACAATTTATTCCTGCAAGGTTATCTTCCTAAAGTTATTTCTTAGCTTCTTTATGGTGTTCAGATTTGTTCTTTTTCAGAATTTAATATCCTGGGAACTGTTCAGTCCAAGTTTATGGACTCATCTTTACAGTTCCAAGATGCAATAAGAATGCTAGTTTAGAAAGAGATTTGGTTTCTAAGGGTGCCACAGCTTGGCACTATCAAATTAATTTGTAATTAATTTCTTCACTGTAGGTATGGCCCGATTGGTTCTCAGACATTATTTCAAATCAATTTGGCTGAAAAGCGCTAATAGCAAACCCCTCCTTAGGTCTTTTTTGAGAGCTCTGCCCATTAGTTCTCATGCTATTTGGAGAATGGCAAATGCAGCCTCAGGAAGAAGGCCTGACATGGCCATCAGCTGCCTCGCATAGAGCAGACTCAGCAGGTCAAGCTGTGGAAAATAAAATAAAGGTGGAGCATAGGGCCTAGGGCAGTGGTTCTCAACCTTTTTAATGCCGCGACCCCAACTGGTCGTAAGTCGAGGACTAAACCGGTCGTAAGTCGAGGACTAAACCGGTCGTAAGTCGAGGACTACCTAACCGGTCGTAAGTCGAGGACTTTCCCTGCCCGGGAGCGCCACGCATGCGTGGTTCCGCCCCCTGCGCCGGCCGAGGCGTAGCTGGCAAGCGGCAGAGACGGAGCAGGCCGACCACCAGCTGGCCCAGCCCAAGGGAGGTAAGGCACCTGCTGGAAAAGGGGAAAAAATGCCGGACAAAAAAAATGGCGGACAGCCTTGCTTGGCGACCCCCGTGAAATGGTTGATCGACCCCAAATGGGGTCCAGACCCACAGGTTGAGAACCACTGGCCTAGGGGCAGCTGGGGCTTTGCATTGTGGCACTAGGGTGGCTAGCTATGACATGGAGCTGAGGCAACGCTCCTTGGTAGCATTGGGAGTGAAAGAGGAGCAGGGGTGTTGGCAGCCAGCTGAGTCTGCTGAAGCCCCAGTACCACCGCCTCTCCACTGTGCAGGGCAGCCAAAAGGGCAGAGATGGAGAGATAGACAAATGAGAGGACTTGGAAAGGAGACAGAGAAGGCAGACTCTTACCTCACCAAAGATTAGGGCTGGGAAGAGCAAACTGAGAGTTGCTTGACTCAGGGTTGGTCTTCACCTAATGACCAATGGGTTTGGTTAACAGCTGCAGGGGGACTGCTGGGATTATTTATGGCCATATCACTTAGTAACAGAAATTCCAGTTCCAATGACTATCCTAACTCAAGGACTACCTGTACTTAGATTTCAAATATAAGGGAAAAAACATCAGCATGATAAGATATAATAGTGGAACAGTGTACTGATAGAAGTTGTGGATTCTCCATCTGGTTAGACACCTTTCAAGACTGATTTAAATAGTTTTCTGTACATTTCAGACAGTTTGGAATAGATGATCCTTATGGTTCCTTCCAATTCTATATTTCTGCCTTCAACCAAAGTGACAAGTAAGGTTGAAACATCATGTTAAGATGTGATTTAACCGTTGTTTAGTAAACCATAATGACTGGATTTACATGGTAGTCTAAGCCAACGCAAATAATCCAGATTGAATAAATGTGCATTAAAATTGGGCTATAAAATAAATTCTAATATACATTTTTAGACATTCATTTGCAATATACATAATTGCTTATTTTTCTACCAGTATCACGCAGGTTATTGAATTGATTGAAGTTATCCGGATCAGAAAATTAGCCCTTTTTTGTGAAAAGGTTTTGGAAGTTACACATAGAGATTGGCTAATATGCCCAGCTACATGGGAAAAGAGAAATGTTCTTAAAAACATAGCATCTGAACTAAACATCAATGATGAAACTGTTTGCCACTATGAAAATGATGTTTCTGCTGAAGAGAGAGGAAATGAAGGTAGGAAATAAATTGTAGTGGATTCTTTGTAACAATAACTGAAATATTGTATCCTAGTGATATATCTTGTCAGAAGAAGTAGATCATAGATTGGATTTATGCATACTAAATCATGTATACTTAACTGTAGCTTGCTGAATAAATAACAGCTTTCTTGAATCACACATTATGAATGAACTGTGGAGACCTAAATGTTCTCTGAGCATGGTTGTTTGCTTGCAGATATTTCATTAAACCAACTAGGGAACATCAGTGCTAGTGAGTGTGAAGTTTGTTCCCTGTTTATATACAGTACAGAGCTTGTTGCTCTGCCAGTGTTGGTGGAGATGTAGTTTTTCTCCGTGGTAGTTCTTTGATTAGGGTATTGTTTTTTATTTGCTTGATTGTTTGCCTAGTGTTAATCCCTGTTTTTATGAGTGTTGGTTGCCAGAGGATACGGATGTGTTCTGTCCCTTTTGTTTCCTTTTTAGCTTTTGGTTGTCTTATTTGAATAGTGTGTAAATATGGCTTATTTCTCTGTGTCTATTGATGATTGATTTGTCTAAATACCAAGCTTTCAGGAATTCCCTAGCATCCAACCCTGAGCTACATACATTCTTGTCCATTGGAATTATGAATGGAACAAACTCAATTAGGACTCAGCCTGATATTGCTTCCCTTCAGGGATGACAATATGAAATAAAATGTATGTCCTCCTCTTATGGGAAAGGAAAGAAATAGGGAAAGTTGCTAAGGTACCCAAAGGGTGTGTGTGTGTGTGTGTGTGTGTGTGTGTGTGTGTGTGTGTGTGTGAACATTGACACAGGGATGAGAAGTTCAATAGCAGATTTGTTTCAAGAACAAATTTGAATTATTTTATTTTATCTCAACAGCTCTTGCTTCTGCCAGTGTAAGAATACCTTATGTTGCTAAACCTTTCCCATATCAGGTTGGTCACACAGGTAAGAATGACTTAGCAAAAATGTTATAAGCTACACATTTCATTATTACTATGTTTTTCATAAGCACTGTAAAAGCATTTTTTAGAAATGAATAATAAAAGAAAATGCTAATGACTGTTAAAACATTAGTTTTTCTCCATTTTCATATAGTATTCCTTGTCAAGCTGAGGAAATTTAATTCATTATATCCAAACACTGCTCCCGATGGAATGTGCCAATCTGAAGACTGTACTTCATCAGAAATAACACATTAAATTTTCTTCTGATATGAGTATGATTTGGGAAACATCGGATGTGTTTACATTGACTAAGATACAGTATGTTTCAATAGACTAATGTGTTTAACAAATAAAATAAAATAAATGAAATTTAGACAACAAATATTTTGACATGTATTTTGTGTTTAATTTCCTATTCATTTTGAAACTTGTTAAGTTCTGTTATTCTTCATTTCCAGTAAACCAGTCCATGGATTTATCTCGATTACTTTTTTTCCCATTACTTGGCAGTTCATCTGTCAAAAAAATGGAAGCATTTGGGAGCTTAGCGTGTCATTATTGATAAACAAGAATGCTTTTGGATAATTCAGAACAGATTACATAAATAGGAATAATAGAAGGAAAAACCCAGCTAGCAAAATAAAATTGTAAAAAGGCTTTCCAGTGAACTATATACATTGCTTAGAATATTTTCTATTGTTCTTTCCTTCAGCTCATTAACTCTAATGTTCTTGGTGCATTAGATGTTCTTTCATTACCAATTCTTGGGTAGCAGTACAGACTAAAACACCACAGATCAAAGGCCTTTGTGTAACTTTTTTTTACAGCTGTATCAATGTTGATATTTTTGTTTGGTACCAAAACTATCAATGAGACTTTATGGAGTAATCAGGAAGAATGACTGTCGATTGCTTACTAAAAATAATCACGCCTAAATCAAAGTAACTTCAATATTTTCAGTGTCCCCAGCATAAGGATTCCATGGCTTAATATGTAAATAAATTTCAGAAGATAAGTTAATGATTTAGCAGAAAATATCCAGAACAATATACTTGTCATAATCCATTTCATTATTACATTCACTGTTATCGGTGCCAGTTATACACTTTGTCATCCTTAGGTCCGTTGTTCTATCTTTATTAAGAAACAAATATTGTACTATTATTCAAAATTAATGTAATGCCACTAGCATGGAAATTGATTCATGGTTTTGAAAATGAATAAATTAGATTTATTTTTCTGCTAAAATTAATTAGCTTTCTGCAAAGAGAATTAAGTATAGTAAAATTATGTAAACTCACAATTTAAATGAGACACTTTTGTATGCGTGATCATAATTTTCAATTGCAGAAACAATATAAAACATATATGAAGAAAAAATTGGCAGGAAACTAATTCAATAAAAAATGAAGTGAACACAACAATCCCCTTGTGCAATAAGATTATATAAAGTGTGGCTCGTAAAGTAAAGAATTTAGGGCAATGAATATAACAGTAATTTATCTATTGGACTTCATACAAAAACTTTTTGTATCATGCTAAATATGCAGCCTTGACCGCTGCTGTGGTGCTCCTTTATACTTTTAATACACACAGGACTATGCTCTGAATATTAAGTATAAACTAATCTTGTTTATCAGAATGGAATTTCCGTCATTGGTTATTGTGACTATGGCCTCAGAAGATTTAACAGTATTTTAAGTTTAACCCCAGTCTGTAGTTTTCATGTAGAGACAAAACATTCCCAGCCAGAGAGACATATGATATATGTGAACTCTAAACATACAGCCCTTTTGATTTCTTGGCTATAGTTAGACTAGAAGTTTAAGCATTACAGTATAATTTTATTTCTATGGACACTTGACCTACCTTGGGAGCGACAATGATATGATGGATCAAGGAGCATTTTATCTGTTGGATCAAGCAATCCAGGAGCGACTTGGTGCTCCATCATTTCCAAAGTTTCAGTGGAGGAGGAAGATGATAATCCCAGCCTTATATATCGTGTTTTTTTCCCACAAAGTTCACAGTCTACAGGTGTGGCATTGGGTCCTCTAGGCAACTGTACTTTGTTTCTGCAACTGTTTCTTATAGCTCCACTATGGTAAAGAGACCGTTCTCGCTGCCATACATAATGTGTTGAAGCAATTGCCATTACCTGTATCAAAGACACTTATCTCAGAAAGGACTGCATCAGAACTATCATATAGCAAACAGTACACAAAAATTATAAAGGCTAGTGGGCAAATATCATTTTCTTAATTAAAAAGAAGATAATTATAAAACAGCCAAAAACTCCGCTATTTATTAGCAAAGTTGGTCTAATAGGGATAGAGCAAGAGAAAGGGAAAAAGCAGGCACCACTTTCAAATGAATGTTCGGAAAAATCTGATATAAAAGGTCAAAAATGCAAAAGAGGTTGCATGGAGAATTGAGGACTATCCTGACAGCTTCATTCCATACCTCTATCTGTGACAGTTTTGCCAGCATCTGCCACGGGTCAGAAAAGTTCTGGAACTCTGGAGATCTTCGAAAGGTAATTGAGCGATCGGTAACAAGGTGGGGTGGAGCAAGTGGAAACTGATGGGCTCGCAAAGCAGGCCCAGTGCCTGTGGAGACCTGGTAGGGCAGGATGGGGGTGGTGGTGAAGCAATTATGAGTACCCCAAAGGACTGTAAGTAGAGCGTGAGATATCTTGAACCACCACTTGGGTGGTTGGAAGCAGGTGGCCTGTTCCAGCACTAGGGCCCAAATGGTCTCCACCCTGAGATACCTCATGTGTACTTAACGACCTGCCCATTTCATTAACGAATGCATTGGGGAAAGCAAGGAGGTATCACATTTATTTAACATGTTCCAAGTAACGAATCCTCGGGTTATGAATGTAAATGGCAGGTTCTATTACATTCATAACTCAAGGATTACCGGTAGGCAAAATAGCACATTTCCTAAGTAATTTCTTTTTAAGCATTAGATCCTCCTGTGCTATGTACCATATTGGGAAGCAAGGGATCTCCAGCATTTTTTGGTCTTGGGCAAGTACTTTAGCATCTTCCCATGTGATTTTTAGAGTCTTTAAGTTTTCCATGAATGTTCTTCGCCATGTGTTTCAAGGACATCCTGTTGGTCATTTGGCATTGGGAGGAGGGTCCATCTCATTGCCATCTTGGGAATTTGATTGTTCTCCATGCAGAGAATATGACCTGCAAGTTGGAGTCTTCTGCATGCAACAATGTTATGTAGTTTTCAGCAGAAACTTTTTTTGGAGCACTTTTTCATTAATAATATGATCAAAATAGGGAATCTTTAGTATTTGATGAAGGCATCTTTGTTGGAAGACATCAAGACTCTTTTTAATACTTCCTGATGCCTTCCATGTCTTGCTGGCATAAATGGTTGTCAGGATCATTATAGAGGCAAGCAAACAGAGTTTACATTTCAGTGATATAGATAATGAGGACCATATTTTATTCATCCTTTCGAAAATAGCTGTTGATTTTCCCATGTAGCACTTGATGTCCATCTCTGCATCTCCATTTTGGACTATTATACTAGCCAAATAGGTAACCCTTTCTATTTTCTCAAGTCACTGTGATCTGAATGTGATTCCCTGTATCTGTGCGGTGGAACTCACATACATGATCTTAGATTTCTTGGCACTTATCCTGAGGCCAATTTTGGTTGCTTCTTCATCTAAGACAGTCATCACTTATTGTCTTCCTCAAGTAGGGCAATATCATCTGCAAAATCCAGGTCGCCAAGACAGTCTTGGTCAGAATAATGAATGTCTTTCCCAATGCGTGATGTTCATCACATAACATATTCAAGGGCCACGAGGAAGAGGAGCAGTGATAGAATACAGCCTTGTCTAATTCTGGTAATAATTTTGAGGAAGTCTGTATGGCCATCTTCAGTCTTAATGCAGCAATTTTATTGTAGGTATAAGTTTAAAAAATACTAATGAAGACTGTCAGTACACAGTATAGATATAGGATCTTCCAGAGAGATTCTTGGTGGACACTGTCAAATGCTTTCTTAAAATCAATAAAGTTGTTGGCCAGTGGCTGTCAATACTCAATGCACTATTCTATGATATTTTGTAAGGTGAAGAAACCAAAACAGCAAGAAGAATCTCAAGAAAATTTAGTGAACAAGCCATATGACAACACCAGAGCAAACTGGCCATGGGGTCTGGTGCCAGAAGTTGAAATTGACCTTCTCAGCCAAGACCATCACAAGAATTGGGATGTGGAATGTGAGAATGCTACACAGGTTGGAAAATCTGCTCAACTTCTGTGGCTCCTTAATCTAGACATCTTAGGTATCAGTGAGATCAGATGGATAGAGACTGGCCAAATTAATAGTAATGATAAGACCATCTTATATGCAGGCCATAGACACTTATTGGCTGGAAACCGATCAGCAATAGAATAATTGCAATTCGCTTTGCACTGCGAACAAATCTTCCCAAGTAATAGAAACAGTAAAAAATAAAGTCATTTAAAACACCTATTTGACAGAAGCAGTGGAAAACCTATAATGGACTCAGTGATAACAGAACCAGTATCGAACAACTAGAAGAACCCAGAACTTTTTTTCCCAATTTTAAATTGAACCTTTAGTGAGATGGGTAGCATATCAAAATAATAAATATACATTTTCAGAAGAGTGTTTATTATCTATCTCTCAATTCATTCCTCTATTTTACTGGGTTTATAGACTACCCCAGCTGTAAAGTATTAATATATTGACATTCAAAAGAATGCTAAATCTGTGTATATAAGAAACCCATTTAAGACTTGATGCTGAACTTGTGTCAGAAGCACCAAGGTGCTTTCAGGTGGAAAGACTTAGCCAGTGACATCAACACCCAGTTGGGGGCTCCTTTCATGTCCCCAGCATGAACTGAAGTTAAGGATGGGAGCTCAACCCCACCCCATGGCAGCTCTCGGGTCTTGAATATGGACTTGCTAACCTCCTACCCAGCATCTTAACCACTTGAACCACCATGCTCCTAAGACCTGATAAGTTATTTGGAAATGCAAAATATAGGCTTAAGTTCTGTGGAAGCCCTGGTTCTAGACAATTTTGCAACCCAAGTCAAAACAGCCAAAAACAGTGTCTAGCATCTGGAAGAGAAGAGATATACGACTCAAATAGCCAAAATGAGCAGATCCCAGCTGCTGCCCACTATATCAACCACATTTTCAATGAATTATCCTAGATTATGTACAGCAAAAATGCTATCAGATAAAGGGAAAACACTTTATTAAAAGCGTAGTAGCTATTGAGGAGTTTAAGCTACCTCAACTATGGATTGATGAGAGAAATGCAATTTTTATGACAGAACATTTTATACAACCATATAAAAATGGTTACCAGGACATGTTTGTGCTGCACTTAGGGGACTTAAAGATACAATAAGATCAAAGAAGTTTTGTATGACAACCTAAATTTATAACCTATGTAAATTTAGTTTTGAAGGAGATCATGACTTCTATGTGGTTTGCTTCAAAATAAGCCCCAAATATTTACAGCTAGTATCAAATTAATTATATAATGTACTCGGTATTCATAGGTTATTTCATATTTTCCAATAAGTGCTAGTATTATGTTTTCTAAAACATGCACCCACTTTGATGAAGATCAATTATTCATTAGAGTGCTTTGAAAACATGATATCAACTAGCAATTAAAGTGAGTAATAATAATTTTGACAGTGTTTAAAAATAACTACTAGTTTTGAAAACAAGGAAAGATGCTGTATTGGAAAACAGAAGTTGTTTATTATAATTTACCTATCCTATTTCTTAATAATATTAAACATACTTTTCTTACCTCTTCACAGCAACGTCTGCTTACTATAGCTCTATAACCCATTTTACTCCACAGTTCATCTCTCAGAGCCAAGAAATCTGGGAAGAGTTTTCTCCAAGTTTTTCCTAAAGCCCATGGGAAAATCTCATATTTTGATTCTTCATCGTCTTCTTCAACTGTATTTGCAAGGTATCTACAATAACATGTATAGGAGGTTAAACATAACTTTAATCAGATGTTTACCACTGTCTCCCATCGTTTTTCTTACTCCCATCCCCATGTCATTACAGATTGCTCAAAACAATTTAGTTTGGACAAATGTCCCTAAGCTTATATTTCATAGTAGGAAAATAGGTTATCATTTCTGACATTTGCTTATCTTAACCTAATATTCATAGAACCAAACTCAGAGCTACATGTGTTGTTTGTGCAAAGAAAGTCAGAAGCCAAAATACAGAATTAGATAGAAATTCAGACAGCCTGAAAATCTCAGCTTTTTAAGAAATGAAATGTCTAAATCTTGCAATTTCAGAATACAAAAACAGTGCTAAATGCAAATCAAGTTAAAATATCTGGCTTTGCATAATTGATATTTCTCCTATGTATGTTTTTATTTCAAAGCTCTATATGGCTGTCATCTTACACAGTATGAGATTAGGAACAATAAAATCGATATAAATATATTAGAAATACAAATTTAAAATTAAAGACCATCCTACTGTCATAAAGTACCATAACAACCAATTACCAACACAGCTGAGTTCACATCCTGGCTCAGCACCTGATGAGCCTTCATGAGGTCTTCATGGCCTTGTGGAAGATCAAGAAAGTAGAAGGCCTTCAGATATCAGGGGAGAGAGTGATCCATAGGACCGGTACCACTACAGAGAAGGAACACTTCCTAAGTCTTGCCAGATGGCATTGTTTGATAGAGGGGATCTGGAGCACATATACTCTTTTAGATTTGGTAAGATGGGCAGATACCCTCAGAGAGAGGTGGACTCGCAAATAACTTGGCCTTTACCATTCAGGGCTTTAAAGATGATAACCAGCACTTTGAACTGTATTCGAAAGATAACTGCAGTGCACACAAAATATGGAAACTTTGGAGTACCAGAACTGCACTTGCCACTGCATCCTGGACCAGCTAAACTTTCAGGTGGGGAGAGGGGATCTTCAAGAGCAGTCTTGCATTGCAATAGTAAAATCAAGAGGTGTCCAGGGAATGAGTAATGGTGAGTAGGGCTTCAGGATTTTGGGAGAAAGTAGTGGATTACATAAATATGACTGTGTAACAAAAGCAAACATTTTCAGAGGATAAAATTCACTTCAATTATATACCTATCACATGGAATTTGACAACTGGACAACCTAAATGAATTCGCTGTGCCCTTACTATGGCTAAAAAATTGATATTGCAGCACTGAAAAGATAAATGTATGGTCCCCTTTACTCATAGGATTGAAGAACTAATTACACTTATCACCTATGAGTATAGGTGTGAACTTTATATGGACAAGTATAATGGAATATGGAGTTTTATACAAAATATAGTATGTTAAAAAAGAATGATAACATAAGTATATAAGAAATAAAGAAATAAATATATATGCACTTGAATTGTATTTACATATACAATTGTATAGTACATATAGAATTGTACCTGTTATCTTTTCTAATGATATATTTTGTTTCTTTTTTCTTTTTGTATTTTTTACCTTTTTAAAGCATCTTTCATGCATTTTTTCCTTTGAGTATATACCCTTCATTATAATATTTGTGTTTTGTTTTTTTTTCTTTTTCTGTTACTATTTTAAAAATAAAAAATTAAATTTAAAAATGCCACTCCATTTCAATAGGTTTTGTTATAGCCCTTTTTCCAGACTCTCACAGCAACCCCTCTGGACACTCTGGATCTCCAGGCACCTCAAGCACATCACTAATTCAGCCTGCAGTAAAGATGTACATCTGGATATCATCAACATACTTATGATACTACACTCCCTGCTGATTAATGACCTCACCCAGCAGCTTTACCTATAACCCTTAGGCACCCCTCATAAAAAGGACCAATGGCTAGATTTGTCCCTCCAGCGTTGACCAGAACCAGTTGCAGGGGAAGGAGGAGATAGTGCTAGTTTACTTGACACTAAATTTTATTTACCCTAATAAAACATGTTTATTTATCTATGGATACAGCAGAGACTTGGCAAAATTCAATGAAACAATTGTTATAAAATATTAAATTTGATGGTTGTCTTAAAATACTGATCAATTTAGAATTTTGCTTATTTTATTCACTTATCAGGATAATGTTGCATATAATATAAAACAGTTTATATACTGTAATTTATACTCTATATTTATTATATACTGTAATTGATACAATATATTATTATATAGAGCTGTTCAAATCCTTAGATAGATGCTTCTCAACTTGCAGGAAGGACTTCTTTGAATCAATAAAGAGGCTGCATCTTTTTGTAGTCATACTTGATTTAAAAGTTCTCCCAACTGTCTTTGTCTGTATATTCACAGATTTTGTTTCAACAGCATACTATGATGTAATGTGATATAGCCAGATCACTAGGATTAATTGACTGCCGTATCTTCGAGGCTTATGATGTTTTGTCTTGAAGTGACTGTTCTTTAGCACCATCCAGGGGACACGTTTGACTTAAGGAATGTCACAGACATGAACAGTCATCCTGCGCTGAGTTCAGTTTATTCAGCAGCAGAGTATTGTACCACAGTATGGCTTAATAGCCCCCACACACAAATAGGATTGATGTACAGTTGCATGAGTCAATGCACATTGTTAGTGGACAATATGAAGTACTCCCATATATTGGCTACCTGTTTTGAGCCTTATACCACCCCCAGAAGTAAGACAAAAAGATGCCCTCCTCCAAGAAAACTTGAAGAGTATTGATAACTCCCAACTGCCAATACTAAATAATGTAGCCTGCCTGGAGCAAAATAGGTTGAGATCCAGACATCGCTATTTCTACTGCTAAAGTACTTGTAGAAGATGATTTTGATATACACAATATGTAGGCAGAAGATTGAATAGAAAATGCCCCCCCCCATTGTTGAACTTTGCCTTGTATCTTGAAAAAAGTTCCTGGATTTGACCAACCCCATGCAATATGGACAATACTGAACTGAATTCGCACTCATCATGGTAGATGTGCTGATTCCCTCTATTAGTGGGACAAAATATCATCACTGAATTGTGACTGCAGAGCCAAAAAACAAACTAGTCAACATATAGTGACAGTGTCAAAATAGAGCCTAAATTGGGAAGGAAAGAAAGCAATAGAGGTGCCTGCAATTCTTTCAAACAGCTTACTTGTCCACATACCTCATCTCTTTGAAAGGAAAAAAATCAATAATCTTTTTTTTCTTTTCATGAGGTTAGTATAATCTCAACATCTTTACCATACAGAGATAATGTCAGTTATGAAGTTTTCTTGTCCCTCGATGTACAGCAGTGGTTCTCAACCTTTTTAATGCCGTGACCCCCAACCGGTCGTAAGTCGAGGACTAAACCGGTCGTAAGTCGAGGACTAAACCGGTCGTAAGTCGAGGACTAAACCGGTCGTAAGTCGAGGACTAAACCGGTCGTAAATCGAGGACTACCCAACCGGTCGTAAGTCAAGGACTTTCCCTGCCCGGGAGCGCCGCGCATGTGTGGTTCCGCCCCCTGCGCCGGCCGAGGCGTAGCTGGCAAGCAGCAGAGACGGAGCAAGCCGACCACCAGCTGGCCCAGCCCAAGGGAGGTAAGGTACCCGCCGGAAAAGGGGAAAAAAATGGTGGACAGCCTTGCTTGGCGACCCCCGTGAAATGGTCGATCGACCCCAAATGGGGTCGCGACCCATAGGTTGAGAACCGCTGATGTACAGTATTACATTGATATGGTTGTAGAGTCAGATACCATCTGATCAGACATGAATTAGTATCTTTCATTTGTTGCAGCCAAGTGAGTAAATACATAGAAATATATAAGTGAATAAATCCAAAAATATATTTATTTATAATAAATGACATATTAGAAACTATAAGGTCCAAGGCATTTTTGCATTATTTGTTGATTCTTCTGTATTTTATGTTTTATCCCTTTTTCTTGACTGTTTTGTTTTATGATTGTTTGTATGCACACACAGACACACACACACGCACTTTTCTGAATGTCTAATAAAGTCTAATAAAGTTATTTGAATCATTCTCTTTAAAGGAGTTGAACTATTAGAGAGAAGAATAAAGCTTACTTAGCTTCTCAGTAATTTTCAGGAGTTTCCACAAGAGCGTAGATTTTTTTTCTGAGTTTAGTAAAGCACTGTTTTGCCATCAAATCAACAGTTTGTTTTACTGTGGACAACTTAAAGATGGCTTCAACTTTCTCATTTTATGGTGGCTATACAACCCCCTTGTGCAGATGAGAGGAATACAGGCATGGAATCTTCCAGCCCAGCCAGGTTTGGATGGCTTAATAATTAAGATTTGTTACTTAATAAAGGGAAATTATCACTTTAAAAGTTTTATATGATATCTTGATTGAGTGTCATGCATGAACATCAGCAATTGTTTGTATTTAATAAATTATGGTAAAGCAAATCCCATAACACAGTCATGAGTCTTGCCTACCAAACAGCAGTCTAAGAATGCTTATAATTACCGCCAAAATCTCACTTCATAGCTTTTCACTTAGACTGAAGCAAACTGAGCAAAAATACTATTTAGTCCAAATATTGGGTTTTTAAATATATAATTGCTTAATGTTGTACTTATTTTTCTAAGACTTAGTAGTCTCTAGTTTTAGATTATGAACAATTTTCATTAAGGTTGTTTTTAAATTGTAAACATTTATTAATTTTTCCCAGTATAGTGACTGAAGAAGTCACCTAAAGATTTAGAAAATTAGATTAAATGAAATTTTCGCCTTATATTTAAGGTGAAATGTGAAGCCTATTCAAATCAGAAAGTTTAAGCACCTCATTTAAACAGAGAACTCCAAAAATATACATTGAAAAAGAAATTGAATGTTAGGTAACCATTTTGGTAAAGAATTAATAAATAGGGCTCTACTATCCTTAGTCTTTCTTTCCAAAACAAGGTTACACAACACAACTATATATTTTGGTGATTTTTTTACATAAAATATAAATATTTCCATTCTTAACTTTCATTTTAAAATATTAGAAATCTGCAGAAATCAGTCACTCTTCTACTTAGTTTTGACAAGCTAGTTGGGTTTATATACCATTTTAGAAATTAAATTTCTATCAGCCTACTAATCCTAAAGTGCTTCAAGATGTAAATATTCTAAATATAATTATAAAGAACGCAAATTTATAAATATAAATATTTATTTGTTGGAGCAAGCAAGGCTTTATTCTAACTACTCTTCTCTCAAATGATAGATGCTGTCTCTTGCACTTTAATCATAACCATAAAGTTTAGAGTTACTTACAGAGCAACAAAGAAATTAAGCCGGGTGTGTTCGTTTATACTATAGCCAGCCCTCTTGAAATAAACAAAAGTCATTGCCAAAAGATACTGTTGAAAGAAAGTAAAATATTAATGTTCCTCTTTTTCCTTTAGCCTAAAAATAACAAAATGGTCATTTGATAAAATCAACAGAAAAAAAATTATCAACCAAAAAAAAATCATTATTTGTAATTAATTGCCAAGCACAGAATGGTTTTAAAATTCAAGTAAATCATACCTCCCATTGGGTTTTTCACTCATATTCTGCCATAGAAACTTGTCTCATGTTTTCATTGTCTTAACTTCATTAATAAGACATAAAGCAGGGCCAGACATATTGCTGCTAACCAACAGATTAAGGATCAGGTAATTTTCAGTTATAGTGGAAATTTAGAAAACAGAAAGTGATGTAAAACTGATATAGAGAAAAATGGGCCACACTAAATTGCAGCTAATGGCCTTATGCTGCAGAGTAAAGTGCTGCTAATTACATAATAGCCTTCACATAAATTGTTAGTATGCTATGCAGTGTGCCACTTTCTGCATAATCCTGTGATACTGTATTGGGCACCAATACCTACAGCCACTGCCCTCAAGTTATTTGTTGTTTTCTAATCCCTAACAGATTCATGTAGCAGAACTCAACTCTCTCAATAATATTTTATGAATTTATTCATTGCAGCATTTGAATATCAGTTAAAATTATTTTAATGCCTACAGCTGGGTTTTGAATAAATATTTTTCACACTTTTAATGTCCAGTATGTACGTATTAAGAATTAGTTCCACATTCTCATTTATATCTCAATAAGAGTTTATGAATAAATTATTTTTATTTAGATTCATAAAATGTTGATTTGTATTATTAAAATGTTGATCTATGGGAGTCAATCACTTCTAATCACAATATTTTAAATTTTATGTTATTTAAAACAATAATTGAATTATTAAGTTGAAATTATTAAGTTGAAATTAGCATGAAACTATAAGGTTTGATAGATGACAACAGAATATAAATCCTCTGATTTTTAAAGTTATACTGACTTAAAAGCAATAAGCCTACCTTGTCTGCAATTTTACAGCAACAGTCCATCCACAAGAAATCTTGTATCAAATCATCATCTGTAAAATAAGGCAGCACTGACAAACTAATTATAATCTCAGAACACATTCTTTGAAATCACCCTTTTAACAATAAAATTGTATTTTTTTAATATATAATTTCTGATTTTGAGTATAAAGCCTCCAGCTATTTGGGGGAAAAAAGATGTTGTCTCTAAAGATAATCAAAACCAAGGGGGGGGGGAATGGTATGAATACAAAACAGTAACTTCTGTATAATATATAAATTTATGAGCCTTATCTAATTTTAACTTCGACATGTATGAATTCTGTAAGAACAGGAGATTTTTATTTATATTTTGGTTCCCATGAGGATAAAATCCTAATGTTTTTGTTTAAGTTTAAATTTCTGAGTTACCTCTCATGCACACACAATCAGTTTGTATATTTTATTGAAATATGAAATATTACATATCTGTTTGCATATAAGTCTGTATAAATGACTTGATAGCATGTAAGCATGTATAAAACTATGTACTGTATGCATATGTGCATGTGTATACATAGATATAAAATTCTATTAGTGAATATAAAAAAACCTACCAAATAGTTTAAAGAAAGCTGTCATTTCCTGACGCTGAATAATTAGACATGAACCTTTTGACTGTTTTGGCTTAATATTATGATTAATGTTTTTCCCAGAGGTCTCCCGGCAGTCTTTAAATTTAGGGCGCTTAAGGGCAAGTGTCTTTTTTTGCTGATATGATTTAGATTCATTTGGCTTTAAATGGATGGTAATAGTGGGAGGTGTTCGACAGTAACTCTGGTTATGTTTCATTTTCCTCAATGAAGTTACCTGTTAAAATAAAAATAATTTCTTGGTTAAAATTAAAGTTATAGAAAGGATATAATGAAAAATACACTATGCATACATGTTATATCTTTATTCATATACTATGAGTAAATGTTATATCTTTTCCACATTTTTGTTACATAAAGTACAATATAATTGAATTTTATATATACATTGTATTGGTCTCATTTCTGCAAGTTACCACAGTATTTGATATTTTAAAATGTTACTACATATAAAAAGCATTGAGTAACCTAAGCTAATTGTATTGATCAAATCAACAGTTATTAATTGGTGTAATTATAAGTTTGGACAATGAATGACACCACTAATATTATCAATGCTATCTTGATATATGCTAATTTGCAATTCAATTACCTATTCTAAATTAAAAACAGAATTACCCATGTTCTTGGTGGTGGTAAGTCTATATGATTATATTTTTGGACAAAATGCATAATCATTGTAAATCATTCAAATAAGAACAAATTTTACAAGATTAAATTTAAATTTTAATAATGCATAATTTTCATGTCCTTATGTAGGTTGTTACTGACATGAAAAAAGTGAGCAAGTCAACTAACTTTGTTGTCTATATGCGCTTCCTCTCCTAATTTTACCCAATTTAATTTTCCTGGACAGCTCAGGACTGCAGTTTTCAGAATTCCCACTCAATATATTTGGGCAACACCAGACTGGGAAAGAACCTTGCCCTGCCCTTTCTACAAATCTTTTTTTTAAACTAAGATTAAAAATAGATTATAAAGCATATGTGTTGTCTTAAAAACTGTTAATTTAAATATAAATACTGATTTCAATATACCCATAAGGAAAATTTAATAACTGTAACATGAATTTAATAAGAAATAGTAATTATTATATAGGCTACACCGGCATGAATAATAAACCAAAAGCAACACATGTTCTCTGTCAACTTATTTTCTGTTACAATTGCTACAAATCTTTTAAATTTTCAATGTCATCCAGACTCATACCAAAAAGTGTAACTTTGATTCTCGTAACTCAAAATGTTGCCTGCTTTAAATCTGGATGACAAAATAAGCCTAAGACTGAGAAGCAGAACTTCAGAGCCAAATACCACACACACAAAAAAAACCCAACAAACAAATAACAGGCAGCATGACTGTTTGTTAACTGTTCTGTTTTTTGGCATATTATATTATGGGAACACAGCCATATGTATTTAAAGAACATGATTAATAATTAAATGACTAAACTCTTGTCTTTATGACAAGAAAAGCCTATAATTTATAGTATGTAATACTACTAATTCTGTTCCTGAATTACTTCCTTATGCTTAATTTCTGAGAAGACATATGAAAATGATAAGTATTTAGGAATATTTTATCTAGATCCAAATGAATTCACACCATGGTGTCTTGCTTACCTCATCTCCTGCCAATAGAACTGAACCACTAGGTAACCAAAAGCTGCAGAATATAAACATGAAAAATAGATGTTTCTTATCCAGTAAAAAATATAAATTTCTCCTTACATACTCTCTCTCTCTCTCTCTCTCTCTCTCTCTCTCTCTCTCTCTCTCTCTCTTCTTTTTGCTAATTTGAGGTCTTTCATACTGCAGTAAACTTTTCTGTACCTTGATTTCAGAATAGAGAACAGGTAACTTCCCTGACATTAATTTTAAAAAATTAGAAGGTTGGCACAAGCAAAAAGATAGCAAGAAGGCTATCAACATATTTAATCAATATTAAAATGATATTACTAAGTCAGAAATGCACTCTCCAAAGTAAAACCTTGCCTTTATTGCAGAATACTTCTTTGTTCTATTCCAACTAAACCCCAGAAGTATGAAACAAGACAATCTCAGTGACTATTTGTTTTATTCATCATCTTTTTAGCTCCATTGCCTTTTGAACCCTTTAGCAATAAAAAAGTGTGAGGAGAGTGCGTTTGCATGGGATCTATCATGCAAATACACTATAAAGTAATATATTATTATAGGATTAATAAAAAATGAATCTTAGCCTGTACCATTTTTATGACAGCTGATTTGAAAACGCCACTTGGAAAAAGAATTCAACTGTGGCTATTGTTTGCCTTTTCAAATGTGTTTCAGAGTGTTGGGGTTAGTAACTGGTTATTTTTTTAAAAAAAACTGATGAAACTGTAATATGTATTAACTTGTATCTTTCAAGCTTGTGAGGGCCTCTGTGGATGCAGCTTGCTGCTTCTTGATATTCTTTGTTCCCAAGTGCATAGATTATTTCAAAAAATGGCCTAACACACACAGGCACAGGCACCTAATCCTGTGTAAGTATTTAGTATTATTTATAAGTAATGACACCCTAGAATTTCCCATACCTGAAACACCTTAAGGAGATTAAAATAACAAGCTCTCCCTAATATTTTAAAGAGAAAAATATTCTCTTCATACCTGGTATTCACCCTGTAGAAAATAGGAGTGCTGAAAGGGGCAGAAATAATTTCAGAAGTGGCCCCTTCCTTGCTAAAAATACACATTAAAATGGCGGCCTTCCCAAAATAATAAAGATATTTGTCACAGTAAAGGGCTTGAAATGGTCAAATTAGGCCTGTGTTATGTTTGTTTTAATTTGTTTTTCCTCCAGAGTGTCTTTGTGCCAAAGACTAATGAAGATTCATATTTAGCAGCATCTAGTTATTAAGAAAACAGGAAACTTCCTCCATGCTACGTTTACCTCAGGCTTAAATGCCCTACATGGGAAAGGGAAAACAGGATGGGCCACTGCCTTCTTCAGCCAATCAAAATCTCCTCAGACTGACTTCTTCTTTCAGTGTGGAGCACAATGTCTTCTGGGGAGGAGCTATTAACATATTTTCCCCATTAAATTTCCATCCAATCAGAACCCAGGCACATATATTGGCATAATTCTCAACCAATTGAAACAGAAGGAATTCATCAATCCACACTAAGAATGGCTTAATTTTAAGAAAGTGGGTCAAAGCAGAACATAATCAGAATATTAAATAATGAGCTAAAACAGACCTTGTTTCTAGGATGGATGAGAGAAGGTAAAAAATTATTTCCCAGTTTTAGGTCTTCACTTAGGTGGTAAGTGTGCTAATGTGTGCTAATACTATTAATAACCATTACATATCGGTAGCAAACATTTTTGTATATTGGAATCACTATGCTTGAATTCCAGTCTTGGAAAAGTAGGCCAGAAGAATTAATGCTATTAAGTAGTTTAGCCAAAATAGGCTTCCATGAGACAATAATTCCTTTTAATAACGAGAGACATATTCTTCTCCGGGATCTATGCCTAATGGCAATGCCAGGATCAGACATTCAATTTCTTTTAAAGAGCCAGGGGGCCACAACTTTTTAGATTAATTGGAGAATTAACTGGAGTGCGGTAGGATGGGGAACCATCTAATATAAATGGATCACCCATTCCTTTTTGGTCACTCAAAGCTCTGCATTGTTCTTATCTTCATTCAAATTGGCATTTATCACTTTCCAGAATAATGTTGTGTCTTTAGAATCTATGGTGTTAGGCAAGAATGCCAAAGAGACATTTGATATAATGTCTTCTTGTGTTTTTATATATAATTTTCTTCCTAGGAAATTGCATAATTACTCATGGGGCACAAATTCCTATCCAGGCAAGGTGCTGTTCAACATCCCATATCAAACCAACAGCTATGTTATTGGTGAACTGAACTTTATTTAGAGGTGTCCTGCCTTAATTCTGTATTTTCAACATACCACTATCTTCAAAGCCAATATATTGGAATCTGTGGAATAACACTTGTGTTTTAAAATGTTCCTATTATGGCAGTAGGGATACATACCTAGTCAATTATTGTTGTTCTATTTGTTGTTAGTTCTCCATTAGGATGGATAACCTACGTATAGATCACTGGCTTAGTTGTCATTTATTATGTTTGGTCCTCTTGTAATTTAAAAACTAGAAGGACATGTCTCATTTATAACTGTACATTTAATATTAGTTTGATTTAATCCAGGTTACAGGTCTTACCTTTGTTTCCCTTCTTTTACATTTGTCATTGTATGAAGAATTGATGTCTCTTTTTCAGAGCTTTTAAGGTTGGGAGGGCATGAAGTTATAGATGATGGTGTTACCTGTTTATTAATCAATTATTCTCCTAAGCAGGATCATTTTAACTATGATAGGATTTTGTTCCATGGGGGTAAATCATTAAAGGTATTTATAATCTCTATTTCTTCAAGTAACAAATATGCAAAATATAAGGAAGCCATTTTTTCTTGAAAAGTACATAACAGATTAAGAACCATCATCACACTTACGGAGAATAGTAAACTTACCCAATATAATTTTGGTCACTAAAATGACTCTACCCAAATTTATGTCTCATCCCAATATAAGTATTTTCTATGAATTTATTTTCATAATTAGCTGGACAGCAGGGGGCAGCAGACATCCGCTGCCAAAATCAAACTGCTAATTCTGCTTCTTACAGAATCAGATTGCAAATACTATACAGAAATTAAGTTTCTAAATATTGTGAGGTCATTTCCATTTGGTATGTTGCAGTGCATGAAACTGGCACTGTGACTTGTAAATCATGTAAATCATTGTAACTAAATGTTACATAAGAACCAAATTCAATACTAATTTTTATTTATATATTGTCTATCAGGATTCTTGTTATTGTTTACATTTAGAAATTAATTCCCAGAAACTTTGCTGGACAGCCTCTAAACAATTTGGGAGGCAGTTTTTTTTTAATTTAAGAGAAACAAGGAAGGTCAAAAATAGTTACCGTATATATGACTTGCTTTTTGCATTATGGGCTTTGGCAAATGTGCTTTATTCTGATCGTTTATATACTGAATTAAAGCACTGTGGATTTGATTTAGTGCAGCGTATGAAACTGGCCACTGTGATTTGTAAATCACAGGTTATATCTTAATGTTATATAAGAACCAAGTCAATAGTTATGAGAAACAATAACTAAACTTTGTCAATTGCTGATGC